AAAAAAAAAAAAAAAAAGAAAAGAAAAAAGAAAATGCATTAATAATCTGCTACTTGGGACTGGAGAGAGAGATGGCTCAGTGGTTAAAAGCCATTGCTAATCTTCCTGAGGACCTAGGTTCAATTCCCAGCACTCACATGGCAGCTCAATAGTCTGTAACTCCAGTTCCAGAGGATCTGATGCCCTCTTCTATTTTTCCATTTAATTCTTACTTGTATATTTATACGTGTTCACAAAGGCCAGAAGACAACATTGGATCCCCTTGAGTTGGAGTTACAGGCAATTGTTAAGTTGCCTGATGCTGGGAACCAAACTGGGGTCCTCCTGCAAAAACCTCCTCTTAACCACTGATCCATCTCTCCAGCCTAACACCTTCTTCTGACCGCTGTCGCCATCAGACACAATGTGGTGTACAGACAGACATATAGGCAAAACATCCATATACATAAAATACATTTTAATTTAAAAAATTGTGTGTTCTAGGGGGCTGGAGAGATGGCTCAGTGGTTAAGAGCACAGGCTGCTCTTCCAGAGGTCATGAGTTTGATTCCTAGCAACCACATGGTAGCTCACAGCCATCGGTTATGAGATCTTGTGCCCTCTTCTGGTGTGCAGATATACATGCAGGCAGAACAGTGTATACCATAACAAATAAATACATCTTTAAAAAAAAATTGTGTGTTCCAAAAGCCAAATATGGATTCTGTAGTGTATAAATCTGTTGCTATTGCCAATGTAATTTGTGAAAAAAAAAATGTTGCCTGTTTGAGCTTGCTTTTCTTTACTGCATTTGAGCACATTAGCAAGTTTTTGTTTTGGTTTTTGGTTTTTTTTTTTTTTTTTTTTTTTTTTTTTTTTTTTTTTTTTGGATAAGATCTCATTATGCAACCCTGGCTGTCCTGGGACTCACTATGTGCCCTTGAATGCACAGAGATCCCCTTGCTTCTGCCTGGGAATACTAGGATTAAAGGCATGCCTCATCATTCTCACCTTGGCAAGGTTTTTGGTCCTCTTTAATGACTTATGTGAATTGACTGTTAGTATCCCTTTACCATTTCCTTTTCTTGGGTTTGTATTTTAACACTGTTTTCAGAGATGATATGTTGTAAGTAATGAGTTTTTTCTCTCTTTCTGGGGTTTAAAAACTTCAGAGAAAACCTTATTTAGAGAAGTGGAGGGAATCTTAGAGCTCTTTAGGCATATAATGCTTTATTCACAAGGAGAAACTGGAACTCTTGTAGCAGTCAGGCAACTGGAAAAGGAATGATCTAAGATCAAATGCTACTGCCAGCCGCTAGCCCCATTCAGAAACTCACAGGTAAATCTTGACCTAAGACATGGAGCAGCATCTTGAAGCTTCAGGGAAGCAGTAATGGGATATATTACCAGATCCAGCCTCTAATAGTGAACCTAGGTTGTGTTCTTTTTCTTGTTAATCAAGTTACAGGCTCCAGCATGTCTCATAAGGAATGGAAATATTTTCTGAACAACACTTACCAAAAAACAGTCGTATTACTTCAATGCCAAGATAAAGAAGCAGCATCACCACATCCAGGACTAGGTTGGCCGTTGGGTATGGCAGCAAGAGACCTGCCAGTATAAAAGCCAGAGTATGCAAACACCACCCAAGAGTCCCCACAAGGACTACCACACACCCAGAACAACAAGGGCGCTACTTATCGTCCAATGAATGACTTAGCAAGCTGTGGATTGTTACAGATTTGGGCTCTTTTTCTAAGTCTGTGGGGATTCCAATCTGCCAAATGACTGAATTATAAAGATACACAGATCTGATTATTTCAGCAAAGAGAGATGGGGAAGAGTCAGAATGGAGAAGCCCACATTTCCCAAATTCAAGATATTCTTGCTGTGAGAAATTTCCTACTGAATCGTTCTAAAGCTATCAGTTGGAGAGACTTCTACCTTGCAATAAAGAGAAATGCTTCAGGGGCCAGAAAAGTATGGAAGGTTCTTGGTGGGTATTGGCGCTGGGCTACAGTGGAAAGAGTTGTTGGGGCAGAGTCAGTCAAGCCCAGCCTTACCTTTATACAGGAAGATGAGGAGCTCCAGCAGGAAATAGGTGGCATAGTACCACCCATTCAGAAAGAACAGGACTTCCAGAGGTGTTGAGGACAACCTTTTATCTGAAAAAAAGCAACACAAAGAATGGGCAGAAGGGCAGCTGGAGCTCCCTGTACGGTTCTGTGTAATCTGAAGAAAACCCAAGGTCATGGTGAATTACAGATAAATTTCTGGTTGCTTATGAAGTCAAAGTGTTGATGTGAAGGGGGCAGCCTCCGACCTCCTTTCCCAGGAATCACTTTCAGGTCGACTTTTCTGGCAATTCAGCTATCATCACGGCTGAGAGGCACCTCAAAGATGCAATCACTACTGAAGGGGAAATTGGGGCGCAGAGACCAGCAACGTGTCTGTCCAGGGCCAGAGGATTCGTAACTGAGCCATCCCAAAATAGGGCCAGCCCGGGATTTTTAAGGGTACAGTATCCGAGTTCTGCACATGTAGGCACTCGGGATGGTCAGGGAAACGAAAGCCTGATTCGGACAAATGAAGTGAGACCCCACCTCACCCCACCCCACCCCCGGCTTTTAAGAATGGGAGATTAGGTCCAGCTCTGGAGAGCAGAGAGATGGAGGGACTGACAGGTACCGATGGGACAGGGGCAGAGACACACACCTCCGGAGTCTCACCTCGCGGCGCCATGTTCAGTCCCCATGGAAACTGCGTACGCGGCAGCTCCTGGAGCAATGTGGCGCTGCCGGAAGCGGGGCACTGAGCGACCGGGGCTGGCCGCTCTGCCTGTCCATGCCACTCTATGATCACCCCAGCTGCTGCGCACGCGCGCGGAAGGGCGCTCGCCGCCAACCGCCAGCTGTAGTCTCTGCGAGGATGACGGTTTTGTACGAAGCCAGAGAATCCAGGAGACCGGAGCAGCTCTCGAACTCTATCCCCAGCGCCCTGGCGATGGGCCTGAGTGGCCCGGTGTGGCAGTGTGATCGAAGGATCAGCCCTGGGCCCACCATTCTTTTTTCCCCTTGCCTTGTGAAAAACAAATGCCTTATGCCTCTGCCGTGCCCTAGGCTTGCCTGGGGCGGAGGGCAGATTGGCATAACGAGATACTGCTGAAGACACCAAAACCGTCGGAAGAAGAGGGCCCTTTCTAGGAGTACAAGTTAAAAAAAAAAAAAAAAGGGGGGGTGCCATAAGGTGATCCTCCTGCAACCCCCAAAGAGCAAGGGTGTTGAGGGGAAACTGCATACACCCAAGTGGGAACTGAGAGGCGTTTCCAACAAGTGGAGCTATGAACCCTGGTTGCAATTTGAAGCATCAAGAGCATGTTGTTGCAGGCAGGGGAGTGGAAGAGTAAGGTGTCTGAAGGGACTCAGGTTGACTCAGCTGCGGGGCTTTAAAGTATGTCAGGCAGGCAACAAACAACTGGGGGCGGGGGGAGATAACTAACTTGTATTAACAGTGCTACAACCGTAGCTAGTAGTGTTTTGCCCAGACTCTGAACCTCTAAAACCACCAAGAGACCAGATCTGATGCAAAAGCCGAGTCTTTGTAATTCACGAGTTAACTCGGGTCCTCTGTCCCTTGACACAGCAGGTGGAGTAGGAGGAACCCTGAGCAGCAGTGGAGCAGAAAGGGGGGTGGGGTAGCTGGGGGTCTGCTAGTTGCATAGTAACAGTCTCAGGATTGGCACAACTCTGGGTTGGGGGAACCTGTGATGAGCTGATTGGTCTGCTGCAGCTGCAGAAAGGTTGCTGTGTCTGGAAGCCACCTGCATTTCACTACTATCCGTAAACCACATCCAAAGCCCACCAACTAATTTCTGACTGGTTCCTTACCACATGGAGGGTACCTGGCAGTTTATCCCAGTAATTAGGGCAAGGTTGGGCAAGGGGGGAAGTGGGAGGGGAGTTCGGCACATCCTGCTGAGTCAGAGGCCTACATCTTGCTGGGTCTTTTCTGCTGCCTGTTATGGCTACCAAAGCAGGGGGCTGCTGGGTGAGGCTCTGGGCCCTTCAGTTTGGTCTAAAGGCAGTAATTGTAATTGTTTTTTGTTTATTTTACTTGCATTGGTGCTTTGACTATGGGTGACAGATCCCCTGGACTGGAATTACAGACAGTTGTGAGCTGCCATGTGGGTGCTGGGAATTGAACCCGGGTCCTCTGGAAGAGCAGCCAGTGCTCTTAACCACTAAGCCATCTCTCCAGCCCCCAAGACAGTAATTGTTACTTCTCAATGAGACCTAAGGGGGAAGGGAAAACGTAGTTCCTCACCTGGGGAGAGAAATTTCTGTAGACAGCCTCCCTCCACTACTCCTCACCTTCACCTTTGCTTTCCTGGCTCCTCTGCCTCTGTTTATGCCTTATGCCTTCCACTGGCATATTGTTTTGTTTTGTTCCAGTTTGGTTAAGTTTGGTTAAACAGGTTTCCCTGTGTGGGCCAGGTAGGTCTCAAATTCTCCTGCCTTTGCTTCCTACCCAGTACTGGGATTATAGGTGGGTGCTGCAATGCTCTGTCTGGTCTTTTTGTTTTGTTTTGATACAGGGTGTCTCTGTGGCTTTGGAGGCTGTCCTGGAGCTAGCTATATAGACCAGGCTGGTCTGGAACTCAGAGATCCGACTGCCTCTACCTCTCTAGCACTGGGATTAAAGGCGTGCGCCACCACTGTCTGGCACTCTGTCTAGTCTTAACTGGAACTTTTAGGGCCCCTCTAGCAAGGGCCAGGGCCAACTGAGGCAATGGAAAGGAACTCTGGTCCTGTACCCCATCTGCACTGCCTTTATACACACTCCCACTCTGGGCCGTAGAAAGGTGGGCCAGTTGCTTTTTTGTTTGTAAATCACCCTGTCCACACATTTAGGTATTGTGTATACATATAGCTCTTTCATGCTACAGGGAAAAGTTCACCCCTTATCAATAGAGATTATAGAGCCCATCGACTTCATATCACCTGGCTTTTTAAGAAAAATAACGCTGTTCAGAGGATGCCACAACTACATAGGTACCAAAAGTGAACAGTAAACATTGTGTATACATATAGCTCTTTCATGCTACAGTGAAAAGTTCACCCCTTATCAATAGAGATTATAGAGCCCATAGACTTCATATCACCTGGCTTTTTAAGAAAAATAACACTGTTCAGAGGATGCCACAACTACATAGGTACCAAAAGTGAACAGTAAA